CAAAAAAAGACTCCGATATCCTGTGAAATAACAACCTTATTCCTATATCCTTGTCTGAAATCAATACCCAAGAATGAAAAACCTCACTTACACCCTTTGTAACCAATTTATTTCCATATCCTACTTTACTTAATTATAGTAATTTTACTGTTACCGGTAACTTTAATTACTTATTACAATCTGGACTATAATTTGGCAATAATAGGCTCTAATTTGGGGAATGAAATGGTCTCGCCCACCTCTTCATGCACCCAATTCTGGCAACTTTGGTTGGGCAACTTGGCATTTGACTCCAACTATAATCAGCTTGGCAATATGTTTTCAATAGAATCTTCCTTTTATATTTTAATTAACGATTAGAAGATCGATCAATTTGGCAATGGCAACCATTACAAAAATATCAATATGGTGTGGCAAATAATTTTTTTCTTTTCTAGTATTTATTTTTTTCTTTACTGTATAGTATACCCTAAATTTATCGCGTTTTATTCTTACTTAAATAACTTCTCAGTGGGTGTGTGTGTGTGGCTGGTGGGTGCATGTGAGCGTGTGTGAAATAACCTAATAATTTTAGGTGAGTAAACACGTACCACTTCCTCTTGGCAAAACCTTCCATCTTATATTTTGTACGTTATAAACCTTATTTTAGGTTTCGTTTGCTCCCCTGATTTTATAATCAGTTTTTATTTATTTGTTTTTATCTGTCAAATGTATTGTTATGCTGATTATGGAGTCGAAATAAACTTATACTTCTATTTATAACCTTGCCAAATACTCGTACGACCGCCCGAAATGGCATCGGCTCCGACGATAAAGAACCTATCGGGATCGGTACGACGAGAAAACGAGAGAAATGGCTGTTCGATTTCTCGTCTGCGCGTCTTGGATGACAGTTCGCATAATTTGAAGCAAAGTGACTATAACACTTTGATTTGAAGGGCTCTATTACGTCACTGTGACGTCTAGTGACGTAATTTTTGGATGGTGTGGTCGGGTTGGGGTTAGGATTGACACGTGAAAAAATTGCCTTCTGGAGAAAAATTTTATCTGTAACCACTGAAAATTTTAGAGCAATTGGTCTAGTAATCAAAAAGAAAAGCGACTTTCTAGGTTCTTTCTAGGGCTAAGCGTTAGGACTTTCTAGGTTTTCCACTAAGTGTCCAAAAATGTGCCAAGGAACAAGAACAACAACAACAAAATATTGAAACGGTCAACTACGTGTCCCACAAGAACAACATAACAACAAAACGATCGTTATGTCCATTAAACATGTCCAAAAAGCTGAACCCCTGGATGTTGTATATGAAACAGGAAATTGCTGTTGGGGACCGTTTCTAGGATTGGTTCATAGCGACAACATACAAAGTCAGATTTAGAAATTAGACTTCGGAATGAGTACTAGAAGCCTAGAAATATACGGTAAGTGATTTGAAATTTATATAAATATAACATCTGATAATTACGAGATAAGCAAATACTCATCCCGGCGCGTCGGTGTGGCTCATCGTGCTAAGCGTTAGGAATACGGTCGTCACCGCACTTCTGATTACTCTGCGTGGGTTCGCAGGTTCGAATCTTATGCAGGGGCTGTTATGTGCGAGAGGATTGCTGGACTCTTCGCCGCTGTAGGGTGGTTCATGTAACCGCTTGTCGGTTACGGCTTCCTCCACCATCAAGCCCATGCTTCCGAAAACAAATAACTGAACTAAACCATTACCCGGTATGTTACAACCGGACGAGAGGCCGTGGTTTGCCATATGGCTAAGCCGTCTTATCGGCTTTCTTCTCCTCGGGAATAAATATGTAAATCCAATCCTAATTAGACAGAATAAGTACGGTATGCGAGGAAGATTTGCATAGATTGAAGAATGATTAAGGCATTCAAGGGAGCTCATAAATATAAATATAATATTTAGGCCAAATTGTTGTACTTTTCGCCGTCGGAGTGTGGTTCAAGTAACTGCTGGCTGGTCGTGTCTTCTTTCATCATAAATGAATAAAAAAGAAAAAATCCTTTTTCCTGCTTAATATCTCCATCTAGTGGGAATTGTGTAATTCGACAGGATTTCGCAATCCGTCCACATTTCGTTCACCACAACGCTGTCGTGAGTTCTTCATCGTTTATGCTGAAGATTTTCACCACGATGGGTAGAAGGCGCAAAAAGGTTCACTTTGGAGGAGATCGACGTGACAAGGGGCATTATAGTAATATTGTAAAGGAAAATCAGAAGTATGTGGACTATTAAAGCGCAAGAATGTTTCCCGGAGAGCGAATTTGACGACTTTTTGGCGTCCATGAGGCAGCCTTTGCCAGCGGTTTTCCGGATTACCGGGTACAAAGAACATGCTAAACAACTCCTAAGAAAAATGAAAGAGAATCATTTCTCAGGTATCGCCGATATCAAATTAGAAAATAATGAAGTTATTAAAATACCAAGACCTTTGACATGGTATCCCGATGAATTAGCTTGGCAAACGAATCTCAGCCGAACACAAATTCGTAAAGTTCCTGAGTTGGAAAAATTCCATAATTTTTTGATCACTGAAACTGAGAGTGGGCATGTCACCAGGCAAGAATCTGTGAGCATGATTCCACCATTGCTTTTAGACGTTAAGCCCCATCATAAGATCTTGGATTTATGCGCAGCTCCGGGTTCAAAAACTGCACAACTTATAGAAATGTTGCACACAGATGATGGCGATGACAGCCTAAGTAAAGGTTTATGTATCGCTAATGATAAAGATAACAAACGATGTTATATGCTTGTCCATCAAATAAATCGATTAAACAGCCCTGTTTCGATGGTCGTTAATCATGATGGCTCTCAATTTCCGTCGTTGGAAATTAAAAATGAAGATGGCACAATGTCTCCATTAAGATATGATCGTGTTTTAGCGGACGTACCGTGCTCCGGTGATGGCACAATGCGTAAAAACACAGACGTTTGGAAAAAGTGGACTGTCAGTAATGGGTTATATTTACATGGTTTACAAGCTCGTTTATTACAGCGCGGACTAGAACTTCTTGCCACTGGAGGCAGGATAGTGTATTCTACATGCTCTTTGAACCCAATTGAAGATGAAGCGGTCGTCGCAAATATGCTAACAAAATGTAAAGGATCAGTAGAGCTAATTGACGTGATGGACGAACTCAAGGGTTTAAAATGGAGCCCGGGGATTTCAAAATGGCGGGTGTTGGAACGTGATGGTACTTGGTATAATAATCACACTGAAGTACCTGAGACAAAATCTCACATCCGACCGAGTATGTTCCCACCTGAAAACGCAGAAAACCTCAACTTGGAGCGATGTATGAGACTTTTACCTCATCACCAAGACACTGGTGGGTTTTTCGTAGCTGTTTTAAAAAAAGTGGAAAAACTACCATGGGAAAAAGACAGAGAAATCATTGCCAAAAAGCCATTAAAAGAGGATGAAAACAAAGAACAGAATACCGAAGCCCCTCCGGCGAAGAAAAAAAAATGGGGCGCTGGTTTCAAAGAGGATCCGTTTATATTTTTCAATGATTCTGATAAAGAAATTACATCTCAGATTAAGTCATTTTACGCTTTGAAGGATGAATTTCCAGATACACAGTTGTTATCTCGCACAAGTGCAGAAAAAAAGCGGCATATTTATATGGTGTCTTCTCTTGTTAGGAATATCATTACTAATAACCCCGATCGTTTGAAACTTATTAATTCCGGTGTTCGAGTATTTAGTAGAAGCGACAATAACCAACCAAATTTGAAATGTGCATTTCGAGTCGCGCAAGACGGCAGCGAAGTTATTGAACCGTTCATGCAGAAAAGAGTTGTTGATATAAAAATTGACGACACGATACTTCTTTTGTGTGAAGAACAACCAGATTATGAAACTTTGTCGGAATATTTGATCAACCAACTCAAAGATTTGGATCCGGGTAGCATGGTGTTCAAGTATGTTCCTGAAAATGATTCTGTGGCCGTGAGATGCAAGCTATTAATGAGCGGATGGAGGGGGAAAAAATCTGCAAGATTGTACATGAATAAGTATGAAAGAGCTCATTTTTTGAATCTGATTGGACATGAAATACCAGAAATGTATCTCCCAAATAAAAATAATCGAAGAAAGAGAGCAGAAAACTCTGACGAAACTGGCAACAGTACCCCTAATGATGGCGCTACAGATGAGAATTCAGCTGTGGAAACAGAAGTAGCCGCAAGTACCGACCAAAATGTTGCTGACGGTTCTGACAAGAATGGAAAAAATGGTGAAGGAAATGGAGAAGTACTCAGTAAGGAAGAAGCTGCTACTGCATAAAATTGTGGCATATTGAAGTTGCAATTCTCATTTTATGGAGTCCGCATGAGATATGTGCAATGTAATGACCAAAATGTCTCACTTTATTGACCATATTGAATTGTTGAACAGAACCTATACAAGCTTTATTGAGCAATCGTCCGACTTTACTTGAGCAAACTTGTCGAAAACAAAGATGGACGGATAAAATTAGAAGAAACACTGAGTGTTCATTTACAGTAGTCAAGTTGAATTGTCGAGATTAAATCAGAACGCTTTATTGGGTGCTTCTTTAAACTATCTGCCTTTACTTTGATCAAACTTGCCGAAAACGAAGAAAATGATGGACTAAGAAACACCGGGCATTCATTGACATTGGCCAGATTGCATCGTCAAGCTTTACTTATTTAAACTAAACAGGATAACTTACACAGTTTTAAATCTCCAAGTACCAAAACAGTTTTGTCAATGTTCTTTTTGGATCACCGAAAAAAGCAAAATTCTGATTTCGCTTTAATTGAATTTTTTTTAGTGTATAGTGTATTTCTAAACTAACTAGTTATGTCCTATTAGGAAACAGGCGTCAATTGTTGCCTATTGTTACTAAGAGTAACTTTCAGTCACTGAAGTATCTATTCATTTTCAGCTTTGCTTGGGTCTTTCTTATTTTGCTCTTCCAGTGCCACTGCCCACAATCATTACTGCTCATTATTGTTTTCATTATTTTTCCAATTTCCCCTCCAAAAGTTTGACATCATCATGATTTTGTTAAAACAAAATTTACAGAAAATGAAGTAGTAATGTGCCCCAACGGAGACTTATTCGTATGGCTTCAATTTCTAATTTCATTGATACTGAATATTTTCGCACCCCCCCCCCCCCCAATTGTGCCGGAAATATTTGATTTTCATAACTATTTTGTTCAAGGGTGGGTGTACTTAATGCTATGTGTTTGTTTATCTTTTAGAAATATTTTACCAAAATAAATCTAGTAATCGAAACATTTTTTGTGAATTGACTTAGACAACTTTAAAGAACAATATGCCGAAAAATAAAGGTAAGATATTAGTTGAATTTTTCTTGACCCGTCGGACCTAATTTTTTTTCAACTCTGGGGTTTGGGGTTAAAATAATTCCTAACCTGAAGTAAGTTATTAATTGAATTTAAAATGCATTCCTAATAACAAACAGTCTTTTATAGAAGGCGTGCATGCTGGCCAGTTACTGCTTCCTCCACCATGAAGTTGTGCATCTGAAAACAAATAACTGGCTAACTAATCCTATACCTGACATGGACTGGTGACCGGACGAGAAGGCCATGGTTCGCCATGTGATTAAGTGTCTTATCAACTCTTCTCTCCCTGGGGGGATAAATATGTAATCCGATCATATGCAGTTTTTCCTATTCGGAGCCAGCTTTTTTTTCACCTCTCATGTGAACCCAAAATATTTTTCTGTGTTTATGGTAAATTTTTCAGTACTCCTGAAGTGTGTGTACCAGGTTAGGGTTAGGCCAAAATTTTATTCCGATTTTCCTTTCATTAGTTTTAATACGAGTTTGGGGAGTAGTATACTCCCTGCCTATAGGCTTCCGTCCCTTCACACAACTTGATGGAAAGTAGGCGAACATAATTAGTTACCTTCATATTGGTACCACACTTTTAGAATGGCCAATATTTCAGACCCACAGCCCTGGAAATTGCTGTACCTTCTCCACAGCAAATCTAAAAAAAATTCATTATTTTTCAAGGAAAGGGAGGTAAAAATCGTAGAAGGGGTAAGAATGAAAATGACAGAGAGAAAAGAGAATTGATCTTCAAGGAAGATGGTCAGGAATATGCTCAGGTATGTTACTCAATATTTTATGCTTATACCCGTTTTATTTCAAAAAATTTTGCCCAAAGCAAGGTTTGACACAGGAGTGTGCAACAAACCCCCTCGTCAAGGCATTTACATGTGGCACTTGTCAACACTCTTGATTTTTCCCTATCAAGCATAAAATTCTAATCCGATTGTTTATGTTATTGAAAGCTGCTCAGATAGATAAAAATACATAATGATTTTTGCTCTTGACGTCGTATTAAATCTTTGCCGTTTTGTTTCCTTTCCTGCTGCGTTCCTGTTGTGCTAATTTTTCAATTCGTTGTGCACATGACAAAAGGTAGTTTTTCATTTGGAATATTCAAAATCGAAGATATCCGTGTAACATACCAACTACTCAGATATTAGCATCTCCGACTAACTTCATTTGTTTACAATCCCAGGTTATCAAGATGCTTGGGAACGGCCGGTTAGAAGCGATGTGTTTTGACGGTGTAAAACGACTCTGCCACATACGAGGGAAATTAAGAAAAAAAGTAAGTTTATCTTTTTTTTATTTATTCTGAGCAAGTCGCCTTTTCTCACTTTGATATTTGTCTTTAACATCTGTCGCCGGCGTGTAGTACTGCAGGGAATATGGAAACCAAACTTCGATGTCCCATTCGGAATAGAAGTGGATTAAATTGGTTGTTATGATAGGTTTAAATGTGTGAAAAAAATATCGCAAGTTATCATTTATTCTGAGCAAGTCACAGAGGCTTGCAAGTTGCCACAGATAGTAATAAAACTAGTTTTTAGCCACTGATTCATGGGCAGCCATTATTTTTGAAGGACCAAGATCTGTCTGGATTACAGATCTTTTCTCACCTCTTGTACCTTCTAGATTACTAAGTCGCATGACTTTGACTTCTGGTCGTCTCAAGATTTGTTTGAAAATCATATAATAATAATAAATACTCGAATATTTATACGTTAAACTCATTGATATTTATTCATCACAGCAGCGACATATACCTTCGAAATTGACAAAACACACATTTTACTGGGGAAGGGAAGTCATGGGGAACTAGGATTGGTTAACGAGCAGCGTTTTTTCATCTTTTTTTCAATCCTTTTCATTTAGGTTTGGATAAATCAGGCAGATATTATATTAATCGGTTTGCGAGATTACCAAGATGATAAAGCAGATGTCATCATGAAGTACAATGCTGAGGAAGCCAGAAACTTGAAACTGTATGGAGAGTTGCCAGATTCTGGTAAGCATTATTCATTCGTTGTTGGAGAGGGTGATAGTTTAAAACTCAAAAAAAAGTTGCGGCTCATCCGCGCATCAGAATTTGATTACGCAACGAGATGATATTATGCTGACTTGCCGGTAATTCTAAAAGCTTCAAACCATGGCAAGTTCTCGATAAAAAGCGTACACGCACACACACAATCGCATGTGAAGGTGGATTGTCTTATCATACAGCTGATGGCTTGTACAGTCTGTGATTGGTTGTTTAACACGTGACGCTTGTACAGTCTGTGATTGGTTTGTGTTCGCTCGCTTGTGCAACAGTGTCGATTTACGGCCAGTTGTTTCTCGGAGAAAATGTTATTATTTGGTGCGCTATCGCCGTAGAGGCAATTAACGGCGCACGACTTTTAATCACCTTTACGATATGTTATCCGTTAAGGGGCGGTGATTAGGACTCTTATCGAAATTAACCGCGTTGTGGACGATCAAAGGAAATTGTTTTATGCTGACTCAGGGACTCTCTCAAACCCCGGACAACAATTCCTCCCATTAATACAAATCACGACACATGAAAAGCAATATAGACTTTATCAACAGGAATTTACAAGTAAGGTTACGAGTAAGAATCTACGGTCCTCGCTAACAAACAGAAATGATAAACGTGAGAAATATTTGTGTTACAGCAATTTTGTTTTCTTTCTGTGCCTTTCTTAAGGCGTCTGGCGTATTAAGATTCGTAGCGATTTATAAGAATGTGTCAATACAGCGTTATTTCTTTCCTTGAAACGGACAAGGAACGAAATTAATCGCCGTTGTGGCGATCAAAGGAAATTGTTTTATGCTGATTCAGGAACTATATTTTAAACTCCCGACACAATCACGACGCACTGAAAAGCAATATAGACTTTATTTAACATAAATTAACAAAAAAGAGTTACGGGTAATAATCCACCTACGGCCCTCCCTAACATGCAGAAACGATAAAAGTGAGAAATGTTTGCGTAATTTTGTTCTCTTCCTACGTTTTTCTTGAGGCGTCCGGCGTGTCACGATTCGTAGGACCGGCTTATGTGCGATTTTTTATAAAATCGCTGTTTTAAGGGAATCGGCCGTTGCCGATGGAAAAGCGTTTCTAGTATGTATGTACCAGGTTAGGGTTAGGCCATAATTTCAGGTACTAATGCAACGGGAGTCACTTGGCTAGTCCTCGAACTCGTAACAGAACTAAAATAAGGAAAATTGGAATAGAATTATGGCCTAACCCAACCTGGTACACATACTACATCCCGGTGTCTGCCATCTTGGTTCACATACTGCGAGAGTACCGAATACGCTGCTACCACTCGCCCTGCATTGTTTTGCAAGCTTGAATCCAGTGCAGTATGTGAGAGAGGATTGCTGGACCCGCTAGATTGTTACGGTCTGACTCGAATTATTCCAAGTTTTTTGTTAACACTCATTATGAAAACAATTCTTTTTCAGCCAAGATTAACGACATGGATATGTTCAGTTCAAACGCTGACGAGGGTGAAATTATGTTTGATGACGTCAGTGAAGCCGTCGCACCTCAGCAAACAGCTCGTGATGATGTCATAACGTCTTCCGAGGAAGAATCTGAAACTGATGAAGAGGAAGAGATTGTTCCACAGAATTATGGTCGAGAAACTAAACAGAAAGCTGGGATAAACGTTGATGCTGTAAGTATCTCCTTAAGAAAGTTTTGCAAAAAAGCATTAATTTCTACAAAAAGGAATACATTACAATCTTTTTTATTCTTCTTAATGAGGCGATGTAAAAGCAATCGATTCCCACAAATAGAAATGGCGCTCCAGAAGTGCGTGTACTAATATGGAGGTAACTAATTTTGTTTGCCTATTTTACATCAAGTTGTATGAGGGAACGGAAGCCTAACAGCAGGGGGGATGCTCACTTTGCTAACACGAACAGTCCCCGAACTCGTAATAGTACTAAAAAAAGGAAAATCGGAATAAAATTATCCCTTAACCCTAACCCGGTACACACACTACAAGAGTGAATCTGGATGAAAAAATCACAATTGTTACGTTCATCGTTGACTTTTAGCTGATTGAGCGCTGTTTTTATTACTTGTGTAAATACAAAATGTCATGCACGACGGAAATAAAATATCTGAATCTTACGGAAGTAGACAAGGAAATCCGATGCTTGGGTAAACATCCTGACGATGCGACGAGAGATACAGGAGTACCAATAGAAATACGCCACAATATCTTTTTTATTTCACATGCGCAATCGTTTACACCCTGAGTTTGAATATCTGGGACCGAAACTGGAGTCTTGAGGTCTCAAATGCGTTTCAAGCTACAAAAAATTGCTATGTATGTATGATACAGAAAAATGCTTTTTGTTTACATTTCAAAAGGGGGAAGATGGGTCCGACCTTCAAATGCCCCCCTGAATTATATCATTTGATGTTTTTAATTCTAAACATTTTCATATAACCAATAACACTAATTATTTTGCATCCGTGTTTGAAGATTCCATTCCAACACTTGGTAAAGTGGTCTGCAAACTGTGGGCCGCTAATCACTCACCAGTGGGCCTCCAATAAATTTCAATTATGGGTGTGATATGGCATGTTAGATGTTACAAATAAAAGTCCCTTTACAAGTTTATTACATGAATAAATTCAAAATATTCTTAAAATTTTTTCATTTTACTATTTGGGCTTCACTTAAAAAAAACTTTGCAGACCATCCACTGAGTAGCGGCCTAAATATCAATAGGCCAAGTACCTGTGTAAAACCTAACACCAAAATATCTCTATTTTCAGATATAACATTGACTTTCAACCCGGCCACTGAAGATACAACAAATATTTTGAAAACTGCTTTTTGTAAAAGAAATCTGTGCCTGCATGCGTTCACCAACTTTTTACGAAGTGAAACTCTGTTTATACTTGTATTTTGAACGTTTTTTTGAGTCAGGAAGAGGAAAATGGGGTTTTATATTTATATCTTTGCTGTGTTTTGACGAGATCCTTTCTTTTTAAACAGATGGAATAGAATAATCCTATCTAGAGAAATTTTTTTTGTCTTCTCATTTTTGTTCTGAAAAATACCAGTGTCAATGAAGTATTTTAAGTTTGTTTATTTACCCCTTTTCCAGACCTAATTTTGTTCACATTAAAGGAATCAAATAAAAAATATGCTTTTTCCTATTTCGTCATTGACTTGTTCAGCGGCTATCTTCTCAGTATGGTTTCTTGGAAAGTAAAAGAAAATGAAAGCACATACTGCAGAGGTACAAATCAGCCTATGTCACATTCGAAGGTTTAGAAAAACAATTTGTGTAATAGTATGGTTCTAACAGCCAGACTTTACAATGGACATAAGGCACTGTCTAAAATCAAAACTAAAAAAGCTTCGAAACGAATACGGCTCCTGGTCCATAATAATATGAGATCAAAAAAGTCCATTTCTGAATGTAATGTAAGCTCCTGCAATACAGCTTTATATATCTGACTGATATCTTGCAGCTCTACTGTCAATGATTTGTCTACATGCCGTTCATGTGAGCAATCTTCATTTTTTTCTCACCCCCTCTTACTACAGATCCTACTTATTATGTACCAGTTAAATCAAAAATAGTGTGTTTTTTTTTATTGCCCCTTCATCTTTCTTTTGTCTTGTCCAAACCATAGAAACATGTTTTCATAAAAGGTGTCAAAATTGCTTGTTTTAAAATCAACTTTAAAAAACAGGGCCTCATTTAACTATGCTTTACTGTTTTATTTCGATCAGAATATGTTTAAAAATGGGTACTCCAGAAGTATGTGAACCAAGATGGGGGAGATCGGAACGTAGTATGTGTACCAGGATAGGGTTTGTCCATAATTTCAGGTACAAAAACTACAGGATTCACTTGGCTAGTTCCGGTGTCCGCCATCTTGGTTTACATACTTCGGGAGTACCTAAAAATGTAATTTCTGGAAACTCTTAAATGGATTGTGTCTATCTTTGTACATATCAATATTTGTTGCTGTCAATTACAAAGTGGCAGAATATTGCCTTTATGTTGTTCCCGGATGGTGATTGATTTTTCAGTGGCAGAATTCATCATGCATGGATGACTATTTATACTTACCCATACTGCTGATGTATTTTAGATTGTTTCAAATGGTTCCGTTATGATCTATAATGCTAATGTTTTGAATTTGAAATTATTTTTCTGTCTAAGAAATGTATCTCCTTAATTAATGGGTGTACATGTACACTTTTTAATAATAGGAACATGAAATATTGGCAACTGAAAAAGTGCACATGGTATAGTTTCAGAATTCACTCCACTTCTGTGCCTGCATTTGAAGAGTGCATCCTGTGTTCCTGTTGTTAAACTGTGACTCATCTTAGACTGTTTTATATATGCTCCCAAAATGGAGTACATGAAAGTGCACCTTTTCTTTTTGAGTCGGAATCGTGTGTCTTATGTTCTATTCCATGTATTATAAGCTTGTTATTTGTTTTTGAAAATTTTCCATTTTGTCATCTGAATGAAAGTCTTATTTTTATGATAAAATTAAAAAATGGCACAAAAATTGTTTTTGGTGACAATTGTAAAATAACCAATTTTTGTCTTGTCTTTTTTGCTTTACAAAATTTGATTTCTTCTTGTAAATACTTTTGGTTTGTAAAGAATAAAATAAGGTAAAAAGATATTGTTGTCTATTTATGAGGGAAAGCCTGGCAGGTTGCCTGTTCACTGCTTCTAGTCCAAATAAACTTATACTTATGTTTCCCCGACCCTTGACCCAAGAAAATTTTCCCTAGACTTTGCTATTGCAAAACTTTTGACGCTTTTTTTACGAGACTTTTGAAAGTTGACGCTAAGAAACTGATTTACTTGCTCACAACCATTAGCCTAAACTATCGTAGCTTTTCCGGGACCAATTTTTGATTATTGCGACTAAACTAAAGCTCATCGGAATTCAGAAGACAGAATGACAAATCAAATACTTCGGTTACAACTAATTTTAGAAAACTAACAAATAATAGAAAAAACGGGGCAATGTTTACAAACATTTTTGAATCTGGATGAAAAAATCACAATTGTTACGTTCATCGTAGCACTTGTGTAAATACAAAATGTCATGCACGACGGAAATAAAATATCTGAATCTTACGGAAATAAACAAGGAAATCCGATGCTTGGATAAACATCCTGACGATGCGACGTGAGATTTGTTTTTCTATAGCACACTTCTTTCCGTTGCTTGCGTTGCGCACTTTTGTTGAGGAATACCTTGGTAGGAATTTGGCATTAGAGCCATTGTCATAAAGTCATACATCCCATATATCAGATATATTGCCATACGGTTGCCAGTGGTTCTCAACCTTTTTTCTTTCGTAACCCATTTCGTTGCACAAAAATTCTGTGGCTCACTACCATTTTCATGCGGAGAAAAACTTCAAGAAAAACATAGAATTCTTTCTGCAAAAATAGACACTTTCAGTTTAATATTAATTAGGTGAAATTTTGAGTGGGAGTGGTGACTCCTCTGCGGCCCATGGGCCGGGGCCACGGCCCATCGAATTGGGCCTCGGCCCATCAGGATATGGGCCGCGGCCCATCAAGTTGTGTAAAGAAACTATTCACTTGGCTAACACAGACAGTCCCCGAACTCATAATAGAACTATAATGTAAAAAATCTGAATATTTTTTGTCCTAACCCTAACCTGGTACACATACTACAGGAGTATGTTTTTTTGGTTCGAATATTGACAATTTGGTAAAAATTGAAAATTTTGTTAAGATAATTGAATTTTTCCTGATGGGGCCGCGACCCATCAAGCTATTGGCCGTAGAGGAGTCACCACTCCTGTAGATTTTAACCCTGTAACACAAAAATGCATCATCCATTGCTATTACCATCAAATTTTGTCCCGCTCGGTCAGCCAAAAGTTCTGCTTTGGCGTTCAGCTAGCATAATACACGAACTGTCGATACTGTTTTTGCTGTGTAGCGTATCAGTAACCTACTTACTGAAGGACTGAAGGTGAATGCGCGGTTTTGTTTGTTCGTTGTTTTCCGCTAACATTAATAGCGGGCAATTGCTTCGATTTGTAACATGTACGCCAAGGCGGCTCGTCGTTAACGTAAATTTCATTTCTATTTCTCGAGCTGAAACCTATATTTTGACAGATGACAGATAGTGCATGAACTCTTGATGGCAATAAAGACAGTCGGGATGGTTTTGAATTTAGGCCCCTAATGTAAAATCGGTAAGTTTAAAGTGGCAAAAATTACAGCTATGGTTCGGAGGCGGTCTTACTACTTACTGAATACAGCGCGAAACACCGCAAAGAGCGCAAAACAGCGCGAAACAGCGCAAAACAGCGCGAAACAGCGCAAAACAGAGGGAAACAGCGCAAAACAGTGCGGAAACAGCGCGAAAGAGCGCAAAACAGAGGGAAACAGGGTGAAGCAGAAAAAAATTTTGCAATGAGTTCGGGGCACCTTGTTTTGAGTTGGAGTACCACGGCAGCAAATTAAAAACACAAACCAACGTATGTAGCCAGTAATGCGGTAATGGCAGGTCTGCCCCTGCTGGTGACACATTTTGGGTACCATAATTTAGAACATTTTCCATATGGATATGGTTGGCTTTAGGGTTAGGGTTAGGTAAAAAGGGACCTCCAGAAGTATGTGCACCAAGATGGCGCACAACCTGAAAATAGTATGTGTGTGTGTGTGTGTAGCGGATTCAGGTTGTGCGACATATTGCTGCACATACTTCTGGAGCACCAAAAAGGTAGATAAAATTTCGCATGATGACCTATAATCCGGTACAAAACCTTGTAAATATGCCGGAAATAGCGCCATAAAACCATGGCGAGAGGCGCCGTGGTTCTTTCGTGGCAGGAGATGGTAATGACTGCGTCTCCTGTTTTGCGCTGTTTCCCTCTGTTTTGCGCTGTTTTCCTCTCTTTTGCGCTGTTTCGCGCTATTTTGCGCTGTTTCGCGCTCTTTTGCGCTGTTTTGCGCTCTTTGCGGTGTTTCGCGCTGTATTCAGTAAGTAGTAAGACCCTTCGGAGGCGTCTTGCTTAGAGGTCATAAAAATATGTTAACCCGGGTCTGGTATAGTTTAGTACCACAAGTACTTCCGGTTGGCGTAGCATAACAAACGTTGTATATGTTATTTCTAACCCACACCTGACTATGTCATCCAAAAATTACAGGACTATGACGTCACAATCACGTCATAGAGCTTGCCAAGTATAGCTACTATCGTCCGAAATGGCATCTGCGCCGACGATACCGAACTCACTAACGCCAGCGGTCTCTCTGATATCGGGATCGTTGCGAGGAGAAAACGAGAGAAATAGCTTGCTCGATTTCGGGTGATTGACTGCACGTTTTGGACGACCATCCGTACCGGTACACTTTGCAGGTATTTATTACGCCACTGTGGTGACGTAATTTTTTGGTGACATGGTCAGGTGGGGGTTAGAAATAACATATCCAAAAATTGTTGAGCCAGGCCAACTAGAAGTGCATGTGGTACTAAACTATACCAGACCCGGTATCCCTAGGTATGTCGATACATTGTTTTTGAATAAACCACACGAAATACTGTGTATACTTTTATCATACCAGTTCTTCAGTTCAGAATCGATTTTCACATGAACAGAAAATTGTCGGAACTGCAGAATGCGGTACAGTACGATGATTGTAGAATTGTGATGCTTCTATCAGTTTTTCAGTTATTTTTTGTTATTTACATAAAAGAAATAAAAATGACAAAGCGAGCGAATCCTTTTACTGACGATCCGCATCAATTAAAAACACATATTGGACAAATGGAAGTCGCCAAGGGTGTTGCTGGAAAAAGCATTCTGGAAAAAATTCATGAGAATACAATGAAAAGACTTGTTGATGGAGCTAAAAACTTTTACAATGGATATGTCTGTGGCAAAGATGATGGGGCTGGAGATGCAACTGATATATCTGAAGCCCAGGTGAGACCTAGGAAAACCAAAGTAGTTTTCAGAAATGAATTAATTTTATTTTCTCCCAATATCGGTACGTCACAGTTTTCCCATTCCGAGAATAGTCCCCACTTTGAACGACATCAATTATGACAACAAGTGCAAATCCCTCATTTACGAGACAGTTTGGGCTTCTATATCACCAAACCAACTGTGCGAAATAAACTAATAGCAAGTGCAGTCTAAAAACGACACCATCAAATTAAAGACAAATAGAGTTTGTTTTATTGAAGAAAATGTCGTGACATTGTGAATACAGAGAACTGTGCCCTACTGAATAATTATGGGCATTGGCCGGACAATAAAAGCATTGTAATAGCTGCAGATATATACGCATTCCACGCATAATCCTCTGATTACCCTGTTTGGGCTCCAGTGATGGATAAATATGTGCCAGAGGATTCCAGGACTACCTGACTACTCAGTCGCCTGTTTATAGTTTACCCCAGGACTTCCCAAACTGGAGGTCGCGACCCCGCAATGGGACGCATAACAAATTTTAGGGTTCACAATAAGTATACCAATTTCATGCAGAAATACTACGTTATATCTAATGTTGTACTTTTTTAGACTTTTGGTTTGAAAACCAATTAATATTAAAACCAGTACAAAACATGAATTTCACGATTTTGAGAGAATACCGTACATAGGATCAGAGAAGCGGTAAGACAGGGATTGCAGAAATATTTCAATATATTCGAAGAGGTTTTGAGCTTAAAGTCTGAGGAACCTTGTTTAACCCAACTGCTGGCAAGTTGCAGCTTTCTCTAGCCTCAATAACGAATAATTGGTTAACTATTTCCGTACCTACTTATCATAATTCAGGATTTCTTATTTATAAGACTTTATATTTTATTAAATACAGGCAGCAGGAAACAACAACATAAACCGTTCTCAAAAACAAAGAAGCATAGCGTCGTTTTTTGGTGGAACTTCAGAAAAAACAAATAAAATGGAGACTTCTCTGAACACAACTTGTTGTCGAGTTTGCAAAGACACTCAAGTCGCAATTCATTGCTCGTTTTGTGAAGCTCCGTCCTGTGTTTCCTGCCTGCGAACTTGCTCTGATTGCGGACAAGATTTTTGTTCTCTGTGTGCTGTTGTTAGTTATAAAAGTACAATGGAAAAAGCGTATTGCCTCAACTGTGTTTCAGATGTGTAGGTGTGATGTGGATGGCATTGTTGCATAATAATAAATGACGTTTTTGAACAATTGCAATTATTGCGAAGGAAGTTTATAGTATGTGGACATGTTTAAAAACGGTTTCAAATTTGCAATGGTAGTGATGTGGCCTAAATTAATTGGACTCCCCGAGTCATTCCAAAAGCTCAGTTCTCTGGGTTAGTGTATTATATTCATGAAATATAGGGTGTCTATAAAATCTGAAATATTTCAAAATTGCAAAGGGAATTTATCGATATAATATGTTGTTTTGGCCCTCAAAGATTAAATGAAGTAAAAATACTTGAACAATTACGATTAAAAACATCAATCCTGGTTAAGATATATTGAGAACCCAAAACAGAACTCAAAACAAAATTAAAATATAAAGGCACTTTATGGACACCCTGCATTCTGCTATTTGCTTAGTTTTTTTGTTTTTTGATCTCTTCAAGCACTGTGTTTTCACATTTTTTCAAGCACTATATCACTTTATTTATTTATTTTTTCTGAAGTTGATTTTTTCCATTTCGTCTTCTGTTTATCATTCCAGGGGTATTTGTAGTGTTATTTTGATTGGTAGATTCCAAATCCCATTAGTGATGGAACACATCGTGTCGCTATTGAGTCGAGCGAAGGAATGGCGGTTCCCCTAATTTATTTTTCTTTCTTATAAGTTTTTCATAGCTGCGAACGATTGTGTGCATAACAATGCCCTGTCTGCGATGTGGAGCGCCGCTTCGACTTTGTGGGGCTGTGTGGAGCGCCGCTTCGACTTTGTGGGGCTCATAATGATTGGTACAGAAGCTCGATAAGTCGGCGGCCTCTGATTGCTATCTAGTTTTCGAGGTTGTCAAGATTTCCTAGAGCGCCATTTCTCAAACTTTTTTGTCTCGGAACATGAACACCCTGTGTTTTTTATAGCAAGGCCTGTTTGTCACCAATTAGGAGATAATTTTACAATCCAGAGTTGCCGGGGTACATCCCATATCTTCAAGGTGACCAATTTAGTCACAATTTCGATCCCTGTTCCTCGGAAACCACTTTGAGAAACGCTGTCTTAGAGCAGTGGTCGTCAAACTTTTTGAGACGCGACCCCATTTCAAAAATTATAAGGTATGATAAGCGTGGGCCCCCAAGGTAACACAAGGAAAAAAATATTTTAAACCACTAAAAACTAATCACAGTAAAATCTCATTCCGGAAAATTTTTCACAGATTTCGTGTTACAATTTAATTATTGCCGTCACGCAATAGCCTTATTATAAAAGATATCACTGTAATTCAGATAACCCAAACTTGCTATGTAGTGCTAGTCAGGTCAGTGTAGAATGCATGCAATAGAATATAGAAAAATAAAACAAGAATACAACGCCGGACACTCGGCAAACCTTAAAATATTGTTCAACTACTCATCTTCCTAGACGTAACACAGATCTAATACATTTTTTTTACTTGAAAACAGGCTCTATTCAGAAAAGGCTGTATTCTATATTGCGTATACTTGAAATTTTGTGAATTTTCATCAGAAATGATGTTACTTCTCTTGTCTGCACATAAATCTCTTGATAACTGTAGAAAATCTATCTCAATTTTCTCAAACATATGCATCAGTTTTTGCAATCAATTATTCCTCGATCGATAAATGGTTCCCCTTATTGTATTTGATTAGTAAATTGGGTGATTCTGATCTACAATAGCGCTCTCATGCTTGTAGTGTCCATTTTTTTCCCACGTTATTCAATCTTTTGCATTACTCCCTTTGAAAGTATACACAATCACATTTTTTTGTATTTTTCACAGCCATTACTATCTTAGAGTAGGCAGAATTGCATGTCATGCTTTCAGCTGGTGCTTTGTAACTTAGTTTTAAATTGCACTGTAAGAAAAAAATGGGAACTGTCAAGTTTTCGGTATCTGCGACCACAGATTCGACAGAATTCGTTGGAATTGTTGGCAATGCTTCAGCATTAGGAAATTGGCGACTTGAGGGATCTAAAGTTCTGCAATTCAATGAAGAATCTTCTAAATGGAGCCTTGAAGTGAAATTTGAAAATTGTTCAAGTGTAAAATATAGATATTTTATCGGGGATTATTTGCATGACGAGAGTGATAATAAAACCATGGTAGTGCGGAATTGGGAGATCGGTCACGGTGATAAAGTACGAACTACTGATATCATCCCAGGAAAGTCTCAGGATGTTGATGATGGAAATTTTGGTGTCGTAAACGGAATAAATATTGTTGATCAAGGTTGGCTAACTGAACAGACAGAAGTTCGTTTTAATATCAGTCATACAGGAGCCAAAACGGTCGTTTCGTGGCACAAAAGTTTTGAAAAAAACGTCGGTGAAAATCTCATGATTCTGTTTCATCCTGATATAGAAAATACCAGAGTTCAAACGCGGTTGATCAAACCGTTTAAATTTGAGACCCTCGATGGAGGGACACCTGTGGATTTACCCCAAAGTGGGGACGAAGTTTTGACTTTCATCACCGAAACTGTTCATATCGATTCCTTCTCGGCGCATTTTATTATCTCTGATAAGTCTAGAAAGTATCTTGGCAGAGCTAGCGTTGTCGGCAGTATGCTTGACAAAAGTATTTCTTACCTAACCTTAGCGATTTTGGATAATAATGGAAAAGGTATCGGAAGTTTAAAGATGGAATATATGGTTATAACACCATATAAGAATGATGAAATTACAATGGAAAATTCTTACGGCACCTACTGGAAAAAACGTCCTACTATTCACATTGGGCATCGCGGTTCAGGGAATTCTTTTACTGCTGAAACGATGTCGGATCTGTTCGAAAATACTATCGCTTCGTTTCAGAAAGCGGCGCTGCATAGTGCTGAAATGATCGAATTCGATGTACAACTCACGAAAGATAAAATTCCTGTTGTTTTTCATGATTTTACAATTTGCACGAACGTTGTTTCGAAATTAGAACAAAGATCAGGGTCGTTACATGAAGTTGAAGTTCAAAGTTTAACGTTCGATGAGTTACAAACGTACGCTACTCGGCATAGATCTAGAAAAACTGACACTAGAGATCCAAAATTCCACCAAGATGATCTTCATCCGCATTTCAGACCGTTCCCATCCTTGCAAGAAGTATTCGAGGCTGTCCCTGAACACGTTGGCTTCGATATTGAGTTGAAATGGCCACATTATCATGTGGATAAAACTTGGTATCATGACGTTGGTCGTTATTATTACGACGCTAACGAATTTCTAGATCGTGTTTTTGACGTTGTTTTCAAACATGGAGGAAGTCGCGTTATCATGTTTTCATGCTTTGAAGCTAACATTTGTACCATGATACGAAGAAAACAAAATAAATTCCCTGTCGTGTATCTCACAAATGGAGACAGTTCAACTGATATCCCATTTATGGAGTTAAGAAGCCGTTATAATCGTCTTGCAATCCCGTTTTGTTCTTCAGAGAATTTCCTCGGTCTTTGTACAGGTGAAAAAGACGCTTATTCCGATCCTACCCTCGTTGAAAAGATTCACAATTCAGGACTCAAGTTTTTTTTGTATGGGGACAATATCTGTAAACCAGAAAATCGTGAAATTCTCACAAAGCAAGGAGTTGATGGAATTATCTATGATCGAATACATAATATGTTACCAGAAACAAAATAAGCAATGAGATAAAACTGAAATATGCAAATAGTAAATTTCACCAAAAAATGTTTGCTTTTAGTTTAAAAATTCTAAACTTTTCGAATTAGCTATTTGGACCTTGGGTGTCGCTGCTCGATAACCAGATTTGGTTCTTCGGAACTTCCCTCCCCCCCAGAAAAACTGTGTACTATTTATTTTCTCATAATTTGTGCTTGTGTGATATTTTTTAAAGATTGACTCGGATATGTATTTTTTGTTTATTTATATAATTTAATCAAGATACCAAATCGGCTCTTCTGCTGAGATGGAAGATGTGGAATGATACTGATTAAATTTGTTTATTGATTTCCTTAGTGTTCCTAAGGCCAATGTGCGTCCTTGACTCTTTTGTGGCTTTAGAGTAGTGGTTTCCAAACCGCAAGCCAATTACGGACTGTGTAACGATTTTATATGGCTTGTCGGACTTAGGGAAATAGTTTAATGCTCTATGTTTTTACTGTTTTGTGTTCGAGATACCGGCAGTTGTTACGGCGTTATCACAATTGAAGTCTGCGTATATTCTTAACAATTCAATTATACTAATATCTTAATTATATACACTAGTACCAGCGTTCCCTCTAAAGTGTGTGCGCGTGCACACAGCTTTCGCGCACACGCATGGATTTACTGCACACAGACCTATTTCGATGTAATGTAACAATGTTCTCGGTTGGCAGGTTGAGAAAGTTTGTTGTTGGCCCACCCATTACCCGGTTAGAACGCCAAATTTTCTACATTGGTTTTTGCACAAATACTAGTCATTTCCAAAAAAGTGCGCACACACCAAAATTTCTGCGCACACATACTACAAAAAATTAAAGGGAATACTGACTGGTACTAATATCGGCATTGTGGGTCGATACCCTCTCCCGGCCCGCGAATACCCTTCCGCTTCTATTTTTGGCCCCCCGGTCAATCAACTTTGGGAACCACTGCTATAGAGCAAGGCCACAGATTATCAAGATATCTACTGTGATCTCACAAATGCTAATAAGTGTGCTAATAAGTTTATGCATAATTTTGGTAAAACACTTTTATCAAAAAAACTCTGCTATTTTAGAAAGATGTTTTTTAATTTTTTTTGTAGAAAATGATTACCATAAATCTAATGTATTTCTTTTGTTGTCATTGATTATATCATTTTCATTAGTCAAAGATTTGGATGGGATTTAATTTTGTTTTTAAATTCTTTTCAGTTCCCAATCCAAATGATAGGGTTTTAACCGCTTATAGTTACAAAGTACAGATCTTGGAAGAAAGCAAATATTTGGCAAACTAATCCCATACCCGACAAGGACTGGTAACTAAACGAGAGGCCGTCGTTCGTCATATGATTAAGCCGATCATGTTTCCTCTCTCCCAGGATAAATATATAAATCCTATCCTATCCTAAAAGAAAGCCAGACTAGAGATGATATAATGCTGGCATGTTGCCTTCAGTTTACTGCAGGGATATGCAACCTACGTCAATATAATCTGGCCCGCGTCGCTTCACTGAATTATAGTAACAAACTTTAGCTGTTTTGTCGATTATATTCTTTATGCGAAAGAAAAATTTGTAAACTAAATTATATTATAACGTAACAAGTAGATAATTCACAATTACTCGTTTAATGAGACTATAATTTACCGGTAATTATAATTTTGACAAATGACAACAAAACGCAGAAAAGTTGATGCTAAGTGCAAATGGTTTAATCGCGCAAAAAATATTCAAATGTTCAGTCTTCGCGCGCTGCTTAAAATTTAACTTCTGATATGTGTGATATAATGTGATTCGTCGGTCATCCATTCGATTTTTAACTTTCTAGAAAGATGTACGACCTGTCAATGACTTGCAACCTTGGCCCGCGAGTGACATTATTCAAATCTGTATTCACATGATGTATTTCAAATATGGTGGAAAAATAAACTAATTATTACTGAGGTTATTCTGATTCATGGTTAGGTCACTGAAGCATAACCTAGCAGAATCGGTTCTTATTATTTAGAATAAGAATATTCTGGCCAGTTATACTACAGTTATTATCTTTAGTGATTTAAAAACAGATATAATAGCGATTAATGATTTTTCCTGTATTATTGTTTGAAGGATAGATAAAAGAGCTAAAATATGAAAATAGTTTGCGCTGGTTTTTGGAAGACTGGAACGAAAAGCCTAGCAGAGGCATTAACGATACTTGGATATAAAGTCTATGATTATGACCAGCAAGTCGAATTCCTGGACTTATTTGAAAAATTCTATAAAGGTGAGTTTGTATACTTGGAGCTGCCTTCTAGGCAAGGCGGTGGTTTTGGGGCAATTTTCTTCGTTTCTGGTCTGAGAACTTTTGGCCCTTACTCTGGGTTGTAAAAAAATTTGACTACAACTTAAACTGAACTGAACTAAGAAAAATTGCTACAGATATGTATGATACAGAAAAATGCTCATTATACATTTCAAAAAGGGGGGGCTGACCCCTGTTTTACACCCCTGGGGGCTCCCGAAGCATGCGAACCAAGATGGCGGGCATCGGAATGTAGTATGTGTACTAGGTTAGGGTTAGGCCATAATTTTAGGTATAAATACTACGGGAGGCTCTTGGCTAGTCTTCGAACTGATAATAGGACTAAAATAAGGAAAATTGGAAAAAACTTATCACCTAACCCTAACCTGTTACCCATGTTACGTTCCGATGTCCGCCATCTTGGTTCGCATACTTCGGGAGCACCCACCCCTGTATGTTATTACAATCGGAAAGTAGTTATTTGGAAAACTTTGTACAAAAAATCTCAATTTGTATTGCAGGTACAGTCACAGATGAAGATATTCGAGAAACATTGAAAGATGTCGATGTTGTGATTGACGGCCAGGCTATCGCACTCTGGGAACATATTTACAAAGCCATACCAGGCACCAAGGTAAATAAAGGGTGTCCTAAGCTCCTAAGTCAAGTCAAGTTTATTTTTTCCAACCAGTAAAAAACAAAAAAACATGCAAAAATATAAAGAAATAATGATATTTAAATTAATGGGGAACAGAAGCCGCGAGGAACCAAAACTGGTTATCGAGCTGCGACACCCTGTCCTAATAAGTTTTTAAATTGCAAAGAGAATTCATTCATGCCATATATTGTTTTGGTATGTATTAAACAAAGTAAAAATACTTAAACAATTACTGATTAAAAAACAACAAACCTGGTTAAATATATTGAGAACTGACTTAATAACAAAATTGAAATTGTAAATCACGGAGGGTTACGGTTGTACATTACATTCATTTTGAGTTCTCGCACTCACTCGGGAGTAAAGGAGATGAGTCATCTATGAGCATAGTTATGAGAAAACACTGAAATGCCATGAGTTATCTTAAACTATTAAGAACTATGGTATCAATCAGCACGACATGCGATAAAGTAATTGCAGAAAATCAGCTTAATCTCCAGCAAACTTAATTTCACCATAGGCTGAATTTTTTGGAATCCACCCATCAGTTTTACTTTTTCTTGGTGTTCCGCAAGGCGAGATAAAAAAAAACGGTGGGCAAGAGTGTTGTGCAAATGGAATAATAAAAAGTACAAAGATAAAAATTGAGTTACAGAAGATGTTGGGAATCAAAACTTCAGCAATTTCCAATGGTGTGGGGTCCCTTGGGCTTACCTTATTACTTATCGATCTTAAGATTATCGATCTTAAGATCGGTAAGTATATTGATAGGTATTTGTCTGTATGTCTGTCTGTGTGTGTGTCTGTTAGATGCACGCGATATCTCATGAAAGCGAGATTGAATCTGCTCCAGATTTTGCATGTGCATTCATCTTATCTTGGACCAGAAGCCTATTGATTTTGGGCGAATTATGTCGTATAATTAGCGAGTTATCAATCAATTATTGATATAGTGATCTAGATTTTTGTAAAGCGAGAGAATTTTGAAACCCGCCGAGTGTGTGTGTGCAGTGCGCAAGTTACAAGAGCGGATGAATCGAAACTGCAGTTTCTGTTTTGGGGGATCCCCTAACTATCGATCGATAAGTCTTCGGTTTCCAACCGATATTCTCGTTTTTTTGTTATTACTTATCGATTTTAATTGGTAATGCACGCGATATCTCACGAAAGCGAGATCGAATCTGCTCCAGATTTTGCATGTGCATTCATCATATGTGGGACCAGAAGCTTATTGATTTTGGATGAACTATGTCGTATAATTAGAGAGTTATTAATTAATTATTGATGGGACACAAGGTGTCACTATGGAGTAAGAGCGCTGTTTTGGGGGATCCCCTAACTTTCGATCGATAAGTCTTCGGTCTCTGACTGATATTCTCGTTAAATTGACTGTTGATGGGTACTAGATGCCACCAGTCACTTCTTTCCGTTATTTTATTGGGCTCTGCTGCTGCCTTTGTTTCTTTCACATGAATTTAAAAATTTGAGAAACTGTTCAAGACAAGATTAATGAATAACATCTTTCTCTTCCGTTAACTACAGTGACACTGTGATATTGGGTTGCTCAAATGTGTCTCAAAGTCTGGCTTTTGTTAGTATTTTATGTTTGACTTTTTTCTCGGGATGATTTAATGTTAGACTACCTCATAAGTGACGCCGTTCGATAAACATCTCTGGTTTATCGCGTCTCCTTTCACACTGAAATGCATTTTTGTGTACTTTCGGGTTTGTGATAAAAATAAGCTACTGACCGACTGATCTCCAGAAAACAGTTTTTGCCAGAACAGCTCACATCTTATGAGAATTACTCTCTCTATCAATTGATGACCTTGGCATGATCTCAGGAAATTGGAAATTAATAATAACAAAAATAATGCTTTCATGTCCTCGCTAACAACAGGTGATACTGACAACCAGAGATGACGATTCTTGGTGGAAAAGCTTTAAAAGTCAAGGAGACAAAATGCCAATCTCATGGAGAATTGCTATGTTTTTGTTGATGTTTGTTCCCAGTGGCTGGAGATTGATGAAATGCACTATTGGGGGATGTAAGCTATAGCTGATTATATGTCGGACACCTGAACGTAGTATGTGTACCAGTATAGGGTTAGGCCATAATATCAGGTACAAATACTATGGGATTCACTTGGCTAGTCCCCGGTCTCGTAATAAAACTAAAATAAGGAAAATTGGAATAAAATTGTGGCCTAACCCTGACCTGGTACATTTACTACACATGAAAAAGTTTTAGAAAATTTGGATCATTCAGAATATCAAATCGGACAGATTTTTATCTTTAATAATCCACGGCAAACTAGCTCCAATGTAAAAACTGAAGAGTTGTATCCGTGATTTCACTGTGATTTGACAGTTCGGTGTTGTGACACATTGTGCTAAGCGTTAGGAATACGCTTGTCACGGCACCTCTGATTACCCTGCGTGGGTTCGCAGATTCGATTCTCATGTGGGAGTAGGTATGTGCGAGAGGATTGCTGGACTTCTCGCACACTGTAGGGTGGTTTACATAACCGCTGATAGGCTAGGGCTTCCTCCATCATCAAGTCCATGCTTCCGAAAAACAAATAACCAAAACTAACCCCAGGTTCCATTACATTTGAACCCACGTACATTTGAACCCATGACAATTGCACCTGTATGCTATTGCACATATGGAATTTTTTTTGTTACACGGATAGTTAAACCCATACTAACCCTAACCCATGGGTTTTAGCATCCGCATATAGATTGAACCTGTGGATATACGCATGGGTTCAAATGTACGGTCACCTAACCCCATACCTGACATGGACTGGTAACCGGACTGGAGGCTGTGGTTCGCCATATGATTGAGCTGTCTTATCGGCTTTCCTCTCCCCCGGGATAAATATGTGAAACCTATTCTATATATATCATCACATTCAAATATATTTTTGACAGGCACTTATCCTTGTATCATATTTTTTGCAAGCCGGGATGGATGGAATTTTCAAAAAGTATCAATTTCTGTTAAATGTACTTGTGATGTCTTTTTCAGTGAATCTGTGCGTACCTATCGAAGGCCCATATGCGATTCCTTTGATGAAGATGCCCAGCAATGAGAGACTGTATAAAATGAAGTTTCGCCAGCACAACAGTTACGTACTGGAAACCGTTCCTGACAAAGACCTCCTAGTCTTCCCAGTTGGGGAAAATAAATGGGAACCTTTGTGTGAATTTTTAGGGGTAGATGTCCCTGATGTACCCTACCCCCATAAAAATAAAGCTGCGGCTTTTATGACGACTGAAAAAAGGCCGCTCACACCACCTGTAAAACGAATGTTTTATGAAATGCTGATTATGTTTTCTATATTCGTTGCTATTTGTGCTTGTCTTATTTACTACTTGGTCACCTAATTTTCCATTTAACTCTGCACAGGTTTCAAAACCTAGCTGAGACTTGAGATTATTATTGACGAGGGCATGATAGCTTACCTTCATTTCAATGGAGGCCTAATATACCTAGCACTTATCAAAATGTGACACCACTAAAAAATGTGTAAAAATGAGTCAGTTTTATTAGTTTTATATTAGTCATTCAATTTCGAAGCCATAAAGTAGTACATATGTTTGAGCATATTATACTTGGGTCACAGTAATACTATTTTTTAGAAAAATTTGGGTTGTTTGAGTAAAAATTGGGACCC